AGTCAAACACTGCGACCAACCTTTCACCGACACGGGTGGTGTGCCGAGCCCAGAATTTGCTGTATTCCATCATGGTGGCGACACGTTTCGTTTGGCCTGTGGCAAGAGTGCATGAACTCCTCGAGAACTATACCCAATACTGCCCTAACACACAACACACGAACTCGTGCGCTCCATATCAGAGCCGCCGGCGGCCCCAGAGTACAGCACACCGGTTCGCCGTGGCTATCCCAAGCGCGGTCACCACAGGGCCTGGTGCAATCAAACGCAACCGCCCTCAACAGCACACGTTGATGGCATACCTAGTGCCGGGTTCTCCTTCCACGTCCACAACACAGACGAAGCTGAACATGAGAACCAACTCTCGGCTCCTCGTAGGCTCCAACCCCAATTGCCCCCATTCCTGGTACCCGCCCTCCTGACGGCCAAACGACGGCTCGTCATTGCTTCCCGACCCGCCGATGGCAGGGAGCAGAAATATTCGTTTCACAGGATGCGCGTATCGCAGGTAGGTACGGTCAAGTTTGAGACTCCCGTTCCTCCTCCTGACACTCCGCCACAAGAGGTACAGTGCTTCGGCACCGTTGGGTGCAGCTGGTGTAGACCACCCTCCCGACGGCGGCAGCTTCAGTGCTTTCATCAACACGCAAACCCCGAGAATAGGTTCTCACGAGGCGGCCTCTCTCGAACGTGGCTCCCCGTGTACAAACAGCGCTCGAGCAGCTTGCCCGACCCAAGATTACACCACGCTATCGCCCGCCACCAGGCGTGTTGGCTAAACTGATGCAAGGGTCGGGTTGAGGTGCGGGTACGGTAGGTCGGGATCGTCGAGCATGTCCAACAGTGTCCGCTCTGACGTCCTCGTATGAGACCGTTAGGAAAATACGTTGTCGGCCAAAGATCAAGCGTCGCCAGAACTAACCATCCCGAGCGATGTTGTGGAAAAGGTTCACCTCGTACGCTTCATTGACAACCTACCGCGATGTGACTGATGTCATTCGAAACGGTGATCAAAGCCACTCACCGCATGGTGAGGCGAGTGCTCACGATCGCGTGACATCCCACACGCGTCTATTTCCCGTGGTCAGCCATTCGTCGAGCTGTAACGACAAGACCCCAACCGCAACCTCGGAGGTGCTGACGACACTGTATTCGGAGGACTCTCCAATTGCTCCCCTCGTTGAACAAACATCGAACCCTCGTCGGGCGGGGTCCGTTGTGTCTCCACCTGATGGCTCCTTGCGAGAGCCCTACAGACTATTAACCCCCGTTGGTTGCACTGTAGGAAGAGTCGAGGAACCGGGGTAGTATCAGAGAGCCTCCGTACTAGTGCTGGTATTCGCATGTACCCTCCTCCTCTGGCCGACGTCCGGTATGATCCACCCACATTTGAACCGACGATGAAGTATTGATACGGTGTTTTTCTGGCAAGAGCCTTCGGCTTTCGCGCAATGGACGCCTCCAATGTTTGCCGTGGATTGTGTTGAATTCTCGTGCGGTGAAGAGTTCTTCGCGGCTGCCACAGCTCGCCGTTTTGACGACCGAGAATGCGTTCCAACGTATTTTGCGTGTTTCCGACCCGATAAACAAAATGGGTTGGGTCGCGAGGAGAAAAGAAGCAGTGTGGGAGCGCGAGTGGGAAAATGTGGTACGTGTGGTCTCCTGTTACTATTTTTCGCAAGCTGACGCAAGGTGGAAACATCTTTTGCGCACCGGCGACAAAATGCTTGTCGAAGCTAGCCCACACGATGCCATTGTGGGGTATTGGGCACTGAGCAGATGACTCTCCTGCACTCCAGCTCTCAACTTGGCGAGGCTCCGATGTGCTTCGCGAGTGCCTGAAGGTTGTTTTCAACCTCCTCCGAGAGCACGCGCCAACGCCGACACTTCCACCGCAAGTTTAGTCCCACGCACGGCTCGGAATATAACTCATGAGGTGAGCCCTGAAGCGCAAGAGTGTATTTTCGACGGCTGCCGCGAGGCCGCAGCTTCGTCAGGTTACCAAAACAAAGCCAGCGTGATCACAGCGCTGAAGTCCTCGCGGTTACGTCCGCTGAGTATGATGATGGATAGTCGTGTGCCAATGTTCGCTGATGATAGTCCTTGTCCTCATGGGTGGCAGTGTTACAGTTGACGACGCTTCATCTACGACTCGAGTCAAATCCCACGCTGGGCCGGCCAAATCGCAATATGGCTGTGCTGCCCTGCTGGATACAGAGTCACCGGATGCGATAACAAACAGCTGCGCTGTTGGTACACTCAAAGATCATGGGAGAAATTTCAGAGGTTTGCATCTCGCATGGTAACGCCCGTCGTTGGGGAGGTTAGGGTAAATCTGAATCTGTCCAGACCTCGAATCCGTACAGTCCGTTTGAGTGGGAGACGTTTCAACGTTTTTTCGCCCTCGGCTTTCTTCTCCATTTGGGCGCACATCGTACCTTCAAACATGATTCAGCTTCTCATCCTTTTGGGACGCGATATTTTCGTGCGGTTTATTACTCGCACGTGCAGTACAGTGCCCCCGAGGCCGTCGGACAATCGTATTAGTGATTATTCGCTCGCCCATCAGGATATTTCTGGTGCATTCGCGCATGTGCCCGATTTCTTAAGCCCCGGCGGACGAGTTCCATCTCCATTATGCGGGGCCGACGCGTACATCATTGCCAGACGACCAACAACTGGTTCAAGTCAACTTGGTGCGTTCCAACGGCACACCGGCTCTGACCGGTCAATACCTTGCCGATACATTTACCTGATAATTCGTCGAACGAAGAAATGTTTGTCTCCTGCGGACATCAGTGTGTGCCGCTCGCGGGCACCGTAGAACTGGAGCCAGGCGACCTGCTTGGTAACTCTTACCGCCCCGCTGATGCGTGTGCATGTAGCGCATTTACAAGAATAGTTCGGCGACAAAACCGATAGAATAGGGGTCCCGGAATAATGCCGGTGCGATCCGGCCGATTTCGCCGACAAGATACAGAGCAACCGGCATCATTCGACCGACGTTATACCAGGACCACTACTAGTGTTCCGTGCCTGGATCTATTTTGGGTTCTACCGACGTTGGCGCGGACAAGACCGCCGATCCGCAGATGAGTTGTAACGATCCTTTGGTGAACGATCTCAGGACCGACGGTACACCTGTGCCAGACCCGGGGTATCCAGTCCCAGCCGACCCGTCTCCGCCAACAATTCGCCCTCGACGCCACCACAGCATGTGATAGAGCGGTTTGAGCGCTGAAGAAAGACTTAGCTGCGAGTCCTTGTGGAACCGCTTGCCATCACACCGGGAGACGGTTATGTTTGATCTACACAGTCCTGGGATTGGTCACCAGAGTTTATCACAGAACTTAGCGATCTTTTGCATGACTTCCCCAGACGTTTTTCCATATCCTCGACGGATTTGGGGTTGTGTTCCATGATTCCGTTCGAGATCAAAGTGCCTGTGGGGTGTCCCCCAGTGGCGTCAAAACCGTACCGTATGAACCCTTTGGTCGCGAAGAAAGTGGATCCCGTTTGTTTTCGAGTACTACGAGCTAGCGCGTGAACAAGATGCACTCGGGGCTGCCCGTATGGAACGATGGAACTCGAAACTGTCTGACACCTTGGGCAAACTACCCGTTTACGCTACGGGTGGTTGGGTATGGGTGTTCACTCCTGCGGCTGCCATCCGCCGGGCTTCCAAATTAGCTTCCAAGGCCCGCGCAGATACTGACTCCCAGGTGCATAAGGAGATGTCCTTGATTTGAACAGGTCCTCTAACAAACATCGCAGCCGGTCTTTGCGACAAGGCTCCCGATGGCCGCCCGATAGCTGACAACCTCCTGTGCTTGGATCTTCCCTCCGACATGCCCGGAGCGGATACCAAGGGACGAGTTCCAGTCCCTTGTTGCAAACCGTGCCCGAACCCGCACGATGGCGACGACAAGTTTAATATTTTCCTGGCTGCCTCATGCAGTATGATGTCAACATCTACACGTCGAAGACTTTACTGCGGATGATGTTTCAGAGCCTGTCCGTAGGCTACATAGAGGTTGAGAAAACCACGGGACACCCGTCGGTCGGTTCACGGACTTCGCAGGGTCCTCGCCGTTATATACGAGACCCACTGGAAATACCATATGCGCCCCTCTTGGGAACGTAAAATGAACCTCCCACACTCCCACAAGCGTATGCTTCTGTGTTGGGCTGGGAGCCTCGACCAACACGGACAGCCCAACCGTCTGTATCGGCACATGCGCATTGGCGCGGCGGAACGTGAACTGTCTCGCATCAACGGCGAGCGGTCCTCGTCGCCTGGGCACGAAAATGTTCCCCGCGATGTTTGGGTTCGCCGTGTTCGCAACGCCGTGCTGCCTACACGCGTCTGGTGCAAAGCTCAAGACACGTATACATGTATGTGGCTAGGAAATATCTCCGGGCATACTCCAAGGTTTTCAAATGTGTTCCTTTTTTGCTTCCTGGACGACCCTTAGACCTGTCAAGATCGCCCTCTCCCCATAGCGCTACACGACAGCTTTGGGAGCTGTGTGTGGACTTGGTGCCTTCAGCTGCACCGTAGTAGTGCCTTCATAACAACAAGTAATCTACTCAGCCTCGAATCATGCAAGCAGTATGTCCTCATCAGAGCGGCTCTTTATCCTTTACGCCATTCAGTCCGCCAGTTGACCGGACAATGCATCATTTCCTTCGTGTATTTCGATGTCCCCTTCCCGGCCAACTCCAAAATCCGCCAACTCCAACCTGTGTACCCAACACGTCTGTGTACTCGTACGGCCCCGGCCAAAAGCCCTCTACAGTAATTTAGGTCTTCGTCAATCCCGTCGTGACGCCAGCCGTTCTGCCCCAAACCAAGGATTTGAGCGAATCATAGATAGATTTCAGCCTGGACTCGTTGCTGTTAAACGGTCGTCGAAGGACAGGCATCTGCAGCGAGTCGTGTGCCATCGGGCCGCTGCGCCTGTAAAATAAAAATACCCGTCTTGAATGAGAGGTTTTCGAGCTGCCCACAAGCATCAACCCGTCCATAACCCGGCTCGTTCCGCTCGCCCTTAGAATATAAGCATGCCGAACGAGGTTGCTTGATGAACGCAAACATCAAGACTGGCTTCACAAGATTGATCGATCTCCCTTGCACCGCCCTGTTTCCATGCTTGCTTGCCGTACCCCAACAAAGCCTCAGCCGTCGGGTGCTTAAGCCTTGATGGCCCAGCCGCCGTCCATCGTGTAGGTGGAGCCGGTGACCATGGCGGCGTCCTCCGAAGCCAAGAATATCACCACGTTCGCAATCTGCGAGATCGTGGACAACAGATCCAAAATTCAGTGATTATGCCCTTCAGAACATATCACGAAAACTTCTGTACCGAAGGCAAGTTTGTAGGTGCTAGCGGATTTGGCGACAGGGTGTGGGTTGTGCTGACGGCGCTTCGACCATGCCCGGTGAACATAAAATCGGTGGGTTTGAACTATTTATCGACAGGCGGCGGCGCGGGCGAATATGGGTGTCTGTAGTTCCTTCGACAGGACGGTGTCCACCTCTCGTTTCGGTTCAGAAATCCACACCTTTCCGCTTACACAACGCCAGTCATTCAACTGGCTGAATGTTTGTGGTTCAAACACGGCATCGGGTTGAAGTCTGAGCAAGTCACTACAATAATACCAGCAAGCTCCCGCAACGCCCATTGCCCGCCCTTTCGACGTGGATGGGCCTCGCAACGAACCAATTCTCTGCGTTTCCGCGGTACCGCCTGACCCACTCCGGCACCCACCCGTAAGCCTACCAGAATTGGAACAGAAGGGACAACGTGCCACTCTGCGATGCATGGTAACAGCGACATGGCACCTCTTCCCAAGGAACACACAGACGAAGAACTCGGGGTTGGAGTTAGGGTTTAGGGCTCAGCTTAGTCGGGCTCCCGTGTCGTGGTAGGCAGAGGGCTGGAAACCTGGGGCATGTCTATGCCCTTATCTACCCCCACAACTACATCAACCCCGAACACTCTTGCTTGGACACCACCCTTTCTATGCCAAGTCTGGCGTGCGCTGGGTTCACTCCACATCAAAATCACGGTATTCGCGGAACAACATAGTTATGAAGAAAGAGGATGTGGTATCTTACGTGTGATACATACGGTACGTGTCTCACCTCCTCGGGCTTGATGGGCCTCGCGATAAGCTGCGTGGTTCCGGTGACGGCCACCAGAGTCTCGCGGGGCATCTCGCCGTAGATGGGCGTCTCCACGTGCCCAGGCGAGACGGAGTTCACCCGCACGCCCGACGCCGCGCCCTGCGGAGAAGCAAACGAGTAGGGACGTCCACAGGGGGGGGGGGGGGTATCCGTAAGCGTTGCACACGAGCGAACGCTTGAGAACGAGTAGATCCAAAAATGGTGCGGTGACAGTGCCGAAATCAACAAGGCCGTACGATTCTTCACGACGTACCGCTGCGAGGGCCAGTATTTCATGGAAGACTGTGCCTTCTACAGACAAACCAACGCATGAGGGGGCATACACATTCCAGGATTCGTACACTACCAGCACCGGGCGTCATGCATCCCCACGGACCGTGACCAGTCTTATGCCCCGACGCAGGGTAAACAAACATTCGTTCCATTCCACCTAGTTTTCGGTAGAACCTCTGGACACCCGCCCTTACTCCGTTACGGTCGAGCTTACGCTGTATCACCCGAGTTGCATAAGATGCACTCCGAAAACTTTAACAGGTACACAAGAAGACGGCCGTCAAGTTCATCACTCAGGACAATATCACCACAGAGAAGGTCATGCTATTAATAGTATGTAGTATTCGTCTCGTCGGAGCCCAAAGGCAAACAAGTTCGACATTACACAATCAATCGCGGTCATGGGATGTTGGATTCATGCGCGTATATTTCACGTCGTAGTGCATGCGAGGGGTATCGATTCGAACCCCCGGATGCAATCAGAGGCATAGGCGAGACAAGTGAAGAGTCCACGAACCTCAATGGCGGCATACTTCATGAGCATTTCCGCGGCCGCTTTCGAAGCCGAGTACATGCCGCCTCCCGCCATCCCCGGCAAGGCTGTCGTCCTCAAGGCCGTGGATGAGGTGTTGACGATGATGGAGCCCTTTCCTCCTGCGGTGTTCTTCATGGCAGGGATCTGCAACGGCAGGCGGCAGGGGTGCAGGCGGCTACTCAGGACCTCGCCTGTCACAGCTTAAGGAAAATTGAGTGGTGGATGAACCGTTGCCCAAACATCGAAACACATTACCTTATCCCATTGTTCCCCAATTGCAAAATTGGGGTTTCAGCCAGCGCAATCCCGAAAAAAGCAATAAAGAAATCCTGTCAAGTGTTTTAAACTCACTGTTTTCGTCTGCGCCAACATGCACAAAAGCGTCATTTCTCGCGTTGCCCTCTATTCGGACAAAACTACAGCAGGACCTGCCCCAGACACAACCGTCACCACTACTGCTGCGTGTGTCCACTGTGTCCACTGGTATGTGCTCCCACAAGATGTCGTGCGTCCTACACTGACTGCTGTCTCCCACCATGTAGTGTGCAACCTCGCTGCAACACAGCAGTCTGCTGTATGCACAGGCATGGGTCTGGATGAAAGTTGTCGCGATGATGGCAGCGACTCCAGCGCCTCTGCCACCAGACAACAAACAACATACTGATGGACAGCTGTGTTTGCTGTGTGCTCCCACACTGCTGTGTGCTCACACACTGCTGTGTGCTGCCACACACTGGGGTGTCGACACGCTAGTGTCAGCAAGGAGCGAAACAACACCAACAACGGCCTTCATGTGTGTCACGCGTTCTAAACTCAAACTTTTTTTGGTCTGCCCCAACATGCACAATCTTTTCGGACAAGACTACAGCAGCACCGGCCCCAGACACAACATTCACCACTACTGCTGCGTGTGTCCATTGCTGTTATTATGTGCTCCCACAAGATGTCCTGCGTCCTACACTGACTGCTGTGTCCCACCATGTAGCGTGCAATCTCGCTGCAACACAGCAGTACTGCTGTATGCAGGCGTGGGTCTGGATGAAAGATTGTCGCGATGATGGCAGCGACCCCAGCGCCTCTGCCACCAGACAACAAACAACATTGCACACTTATAATGTACAGCAGTGTGGGAGCACAGCTGACTACGAGAACTTCATTCAGCAAAAAATGGGTCAAATTAAATTCCAATCAATTGGGGAAGCAGCCGTGGGCACACGGCAATCTATCTGAAAAAATCGATATTGATTTACTGTGATTGGTCGACATTGCTCGGGGATTCTCGGTGGAGGAAGTACAACGCGAGACTCGCGCAGCGCACAACAACATATTATATTCGCCATTACAGTTCTGTAATATCCATCATTCATCTCTATGAACGTTTCACAGAAAATACTTGTTCCCATCCTTACATCTATTCAGCAGTTTCAACAACAAAAAAAGTATCAAGGAATTAACGAAGGGGGTCGGGTCAATGTAACAAACTGCATACACACTTCGGTGTTGGGAGTTCACTTGGGACGTTCCATAGAATGCCCATGGAACGACCGGGACGGACTGTAAGACGTCGCATTGGACGGCCCACTACGTGTACAACTGTTACACTCATCCTACGAGGCTGACGCATACACGTAGATGTAGGTAGGTGGGATGCTTCGGGCTTCTAGTAGTCTCTCACTCACGGCGTGGCTTGGAAATATATGGTAATTTCACGAAAAAATCAACTCAGTGGACATCTATGGAACGGCGTGGGACGGTTCATCGGAACGATCCCCTTAGGTCTTGTTGGGGTTAGGGTTGGACCCACCCATGGAACGAGTGGGACGGTCCATCGGACGCAATGAATGCCTGGGCTGTTCCATCAGCGTCGAGTGGAACGTCCATGGCTCCCCAAAATGTAGCCATACTCCATGACACTCGGGGCTCGCATGCCCCGCTCGACAGGATACATATTATTAATATTTTGCATACCTGATACTTGAAGCACCAGGCGAGCGACTTGACGTTGATGTTGAGCAGGTCGTCGATGGTATCTTCCGTGATGTCCGCGAAAGGGACCGCCCTGAAAACGCCCGCGTTGTTGAAGGCCACGTGTAGCCCGCCGAACTTCTCGATCGCCGTGTCCACCATCTTCTTGCAGTCCGCTTCCTGTGTACGGGGGGGAGACGGGAGTAGTAGCAGACGTCGCGGGTGTCACGGGTCGGGCGTGTGACGAGTGGGCCCGCCGTGGAGTACCACAACGCATATTGGGGCGCTATGAAATACTGTAGCGACAAAAAAGCAAAAACGGAATTCAGATTTCACAGGAGGTATTGCGGTCGAGAAAAACAGCTCTAATCTGGGATAGGAGGCAAGAAATATCCAAACAACAATCAGGGGCAATCGATGCCCCCGAGACGCCAACGCATTAGCCTAGTGATCCGGGGGAGCACTCGACACCCCAGTTTTTTTGCTATACTGCCGCCTCCTACGTTGGCGGCCACTGCTGTCCTTCCTTCTCTTCGCACGCTCTGCAGCTTCCGCTCGTTACTCGACGTACTACACCCCTTCGCGCTCTCTTCCATGCGGAATGACAAGGAAGAGGGTTGGCCTTTCTTCCCCTCGTGACCCCAGGAGTTTCCGAACAATAGGCTAATGAAACTTCAATCCGCTGTTCTACCAATAGTCTAAACGCCATTGTTTGATGTCTGTTCGACGCATTGAAACTCCTGATTTCACATGAGGTATTGCGATTGAGAAAAACAGTTCTAATCTGGGCTAGGAGGCAAGAAACATCCAAACAACATCAGGAGCAATAGATGCCCCCCAGACGCCAAGGCATTGACCTAGAGATCCGGGGGGGAGCACTCGACACAACCCCACAATATTCCGCCTAGTTTGGACTTGTGTACTTTGTTCTCTCCTTCCGTCTTATCGCTAACCTTGCCCCCCCTCCCTCTCCGTGTACGTTGTTAGTTCTGGTGTAAGTGGCAGAATATGCGGCAACTTCGCAACCGAGAGGAAAACACGTCGGGGGCGGGGCGTGGTCTGCTCGGGGCATATCAAGATGAAGGGTGTGGAAGGTAAACATTTGTTACACGTCCTGCAGGCTTGACAACGGGATGATCGTTGTGCGCTAGCTAAGATGTTTGCTTTAAGCGGTTTCAGTACCACACCCGGCCCGCTTAAACCTGTTGTATTCGCCCTCTTTTGGGCCACGTTTAAATTCGAAGGGGTAAAGGACGCTGAAGGACGCTGCAAGTCGAAGCGGGGAGGGACCAGCACTCTCGTATACACAGACTATATGCCTATCTACAGTATTAGGAAACATAAATACAAACACAGAAATACTACACATTCCTATCTATATTGCCTCTCCCTTTTTGGCTGGCTGGCGGGGGCGAACGAATTTTCGGGAAAAGCTTCTAGGGTTGTCGGGCATCTCGCCCCGCGGCTGGAGGAGACTATGAATGCATGAAGCCTGAGGTGCTGTGGCTGTCTGTCGTGCGCACCTTTGAGGCGTCGCCCACCGCAAGCGCAACGTCTCCCCCGGCCGCCTTGATTTCGTCGGCCACTTCCTTCAGCTTGTCCTCGCGCCTTGCTGCAATCACCACCTGTGCGTAGGCACGCCGAGAAATGCGGACAACAGCGACAGCAGTGCAGTTCGGTTTCAGGAGACGGCGATTATGCCGTCTTGAGCTACATAGTGGTACGCAACTTTCCGCAACACAGCAATCGGTGCCAACGGCAGATCAGACATTTGGTGCAAGCTACTTCTAGGATGCTGCTCCTGGATTCTTCTGCAGGTGAAACACAGCCCCCGCGTCCAACCCTGCATGATCTAATCGGCATGAGCATGATGCCCAGAGAAACAGTGGGCACGCCCTTTCTCTACACATGGACAAGACACTCGTTCGATGCGCACATGTATCATACCTTGGCTCCTTCCTTGGCGAAGGCAATGGCGGTAGATTTTCCGATGCCCCCAGAGGCACCGGTCACCAGCGCGACGCACCCTTCAAGCTTCATGGTCACGATTGTGTCTGGAGATGTCTGGGTTTTGAGGGGTGTGGTGGTCGAGTTGAGGAGAGGAGACTGTTGGACTGCTGTTGAAGGAGTTGTGAAGTGAGTGTGGAGCAGTGTGGGAGTGGGAGCCCGGGCACTGCAGGAAAGCGGGGAGAACAGATCGGAAACGCCCCGCGGGCTATTTGTTCGCAGTGATTCGCGGATGAAAAACGAAAAACAAAAAAAAATGGTGGCGGAAGGTTCTCGAACTTTGCTCAACATACATGGTAGCATACCGTCATCAGCCATCAACGTCTACGCACGTATCCGTATCTAGCAGAACAGAGACAACGTGCTGTGGGAACAATCCCTCCCGGGACTGTCAGTTTTCGCGTGGCCCTATTGGCACGCGTGCGTATATACGTTTTTTTCTGTTCCGACGCAGTACCGCACGCAGCTCCTGGAAGTATGTGGTAGACATGAAAGTTTGTTGTCGAAGACCGAATGTGCACGAAAGAATTCGGAACATCTCCCAGATCTACGGTTGTATTTGGGTTCTTGTTGTGCCGCCCCGGAGGCGTGTTGGTTGGGTTGTCTTGGTTTTGTTTTCTGGGGTCTTACAAAAAGAAGGTCTCACGGAGTTCTCATTCTGCTGCCTCGCTGCTCCTGCATCAAGAGTTTGATGGACGCGTGTCTACTGGACCAAGGGCCACGTGTTGAGGAATGCACAGTGTGTAACACGCAGCCCGCGTCGGAATCACGCGGGAAGGAGGGCAGCAGCTAGCTACATCGAAGAGGTTGGACCCGTAGCTAGCAGAAATTCGTAGCTTTTCTCCCGCCAACCCACCCCTTTTCTTTCGAAGGTGGGGGATAGGAGATGTTACGAGTGAGGACTCACCTTGGAGAGGCATCTTAATATTTCTGTGACTCGGAATTGGTGCAACCGTTTGCCACGTAGAAGTATGCGCATATGGCGTAGCATAGGGGTGTTTTGGGGTGTTTTCTGAATGGTAGTGCGTACCATTGGGAAGCTCAATCGTCCGAGACTGCTACTGTGCAACAGTTTCGTCCCGTCTGGTAGTATTCGGAGGGATTTTTTGCGTTTTAGAAGCAGAGACACGTTAGGATACCGCAGAGGCTTTGTGCCGTGCGGAACGTGTGGTACGGGGGATATCTCCCTCCGTAGGCCACAGAAATATTAACCAAGGCAATTCGAAAGAAAACAATAAACTACCCATTCATCATGTACCTATGGGCTGTCCATGTTCTTCGACGTATGTGCTTACAGTAGACCGTTCTCTTCGTCGAGTACATTACGAGCCAAGGGACCAGAGGGTTAAAAGTAGATTGTCCAGCGATCTGAACAATCAAAGTAAGTCAAACACATCCTCCTCCTCTACGACAGTCCGGTCCGCCCGCATATCGCAAATCACATGACAACAGCAGTAACTGCCGAAGTGCACAGATATCGGAACAAACATCAAACGTCGAAGATCTGTGTACAGCCGACAAAGCGAGATGCTACCAGTTGTACAATATGTGTACGTAGGTTTTTCTTTTTCTTCCGCTTTCCCGCGAATAAGGCCACTCTTTCACGACTCCTCGAATAAAACCCGCGCGGGGTGTTGCGGGTGTGTTCCCCGCGGGGCGTTGCCGATTTATTCCCCGCGTTCTTGCACGTCTCCATCTATGATCATTCTTGCCTGGGTCCCGTCTCCCATTCTCCATCCACACTCACTCCACACCTTCCTTCAACGTCCTCTCCAAGTCGACCCACACTCCCCTCAAATCCTAGACACCTCCAGACACAAACACGACCATGAAGCTTTAAGGGTGCGTCGCGCTGGAGACTGGTGCTTCTGCGGGCATGGGGAAAACTGCCGCCATTGCCTTCGCCAAGGAAGGAGCAGTATGATTGCCTACATTTGCACATCCGCAAGACGAAGGGTGTAGATAAAGGGCGTGCCCATTGTTTCTCTCGTCCATCATACTCATGCAGAATACAACTACATAATTGTACTGAAGTACAGTGTCTAGAGGGAATCCACGTGCTGTTGAAATGACGTGAAAGATTGACATTTCAGGAAGTTTTGACGTGACGAGGTTACGCCGCGTTTTTGGAGGCAAACTCTGACGGCTAAATTTTGTGAAAAAGCGTCAAAACTTAAACCGACGCGAAGAGATTGACACCCCGAAAATTAGAGGCCCCGTGCCCCCACCAAGTCACCCCCCGGCACCCGATTTCGTTTATTCATAGTATGCACACGCTGTGTCTTGAAGTCTTTCGCTTGTACCCTTGCAGCAATGGTCTTGGGTTGAGGAAGTCCTGTCCATAATCCTTCATTTATTTGTGTTTTTTCACGTGTAAAAGCAGCTACTGTATGTGCTGGCACCCCCGCCCTGATCTGCCGTTGGGACCGGCTACCGTTTTGTCGAGATCAACCAAGGGTTGCCCTTCAGGCGACAACTACTTCAAGACGCCAGTATCACCGTCATATGAAACCGAACTGCACTGCTGGCTGTTGTCCGCATTTCCCGACATCCCTACAACACGCAGGTGGTGATTGCAGCAAGGCGCGAGGACAAGCTGAAGAAATCAAGGCGGTCGGGGGAGACGTTGCGCTCGCGGTGGGCGACGCCTCCAAAGTGCGCACGACAGACGCACACAGCACTTACGAAGAGTCCTCGGGCATTCACGGTCTGATCTGGGCCGTGGAGCAAGATGCCCGACAACCCTAAGCTTTTCCCGAAAATTCGCTCACCCCCGCCAGCTACAGTATAAGGGAGCCACAATGCCAGATATATACAGAGAGGGGGCCTCAACAACGCTGGTTGAATAACGTATGCGCCGGTGAAGATGCTAGGCACAGACTGAACCACCAAGTCATTCTGAACTTTTGACTATTGTCGCCGGTCCCTCTCAATGGATTCGGTCGAGGGTATACACCGGCGTATTAAGGGCACGCACTGCACAAAAAAGGGCGCGCTCCTCCCTCGCTTCGAGTTGCGGCGTCCTTTACTCCTTCGACTTTGAACGGGGACCCTCGAGAGAAGAGGGTGGGCACGGAAGAAGTTAACGGGCCGCGTTGGTAGCGTTGAAACTGCAGATCGAACAAAAAACAAATTGTCGAAGTGCTCTCAAGGAATAGCCGTTCGTTGTCAAGCCTGCACGACGTGCAACAAATGTTGGGGAGCCAGTGCTCCCTTCTGGCTCTATGCTTCCCACGCTATCATTTTTCCCAACCCCGAGAAGACCCGGACGTGTTTTCCTCTCAGATGTGAGGTCGCCGCATATACCCTCGCTTCACACCAGAATGAACGCACACTGGTATGAGGGACGGCAGAGAGGGATAGCGATGAGACGGAAGAGGGGGAAACCATAACCAGTATAAACTGGGTGGAACGATGTGGGAGTGCTCCCCCGGATCACAAAATATCTTAATTCGTTGGCCCCTCCGGGGCATCGGTCGCTCCTGGTTGTTGTTTGGATATTGTTGCCTCCTACCCCAGCTTAAGTAGAGCCAGCCGAGTATCTCGAAGGCAATAATATACCTAATGTGAAATCTGAGCACCGTCTAAGCTTTTCACATGTTTTTTCCTATTTCAGAGGGCCCCACAGGCGTTGTCCTGTAGTTCTCCAGCGGCGGACCCGCTCGTCACATGCCTCACCCGTGACATCCGCGACGTCTGCTACTGCTCCCGCCCGCCCCCCGCACACAAGAAGCAGTATGCAAGAAGATGGTGGACACAGCGATCCAAAAATTCGGCGGGCTGCACGTGGCCTTCAACAACGCCGGCGTGTACAGATCGGCGCCTTTCGCGGACATCATGGAAGACACCATCGACGACCTCCTGAATATCAACGTCAAGTCACTCGCCTGGTGCTTCAAGTATCAGGTGTGTGTGCAAGCGGCGCACACAACAAGTGGAGCCCCGAGTTTCGTGAAATGTTTCCGACCGGGCTCGGGACAAGAAACATCAAAATGGGTCGACTCAATTTCATATTCCATCACTTCGAGCACAGGTTGATACATACGGTAGATTGGCGTCTAGGATCCACCGTTGATCTGTGTTTGTTTGCTCTATTTTCTTGTTTTCGTGAAAAATCTGATGCTTCCAGAGTCGTAATGAATATTCTGTACCATCGGTACATCTTAAAACCCGTAGTCTATGTGAAACAGTTCCGATTGCACTTTTACTTTCGGTCTGCAGATACATTGACCGCCAAACACGCAAACATGACGTCTCCCCAGTGCTGTACCATAATTTCCGCCGTATTCGTGTTCGTGTACATTTACGATTGTGTGCACGCGTGTAACATATCTTGGGGCATATATGTCTTCCAAGAGTCTTGGTGAGAGGGGAATATATTCAAGAATCAGATTCAATCAGTCACACGGTATATTCCATGGTCTGGACTATTCGTTGATTCGTTGACCACACGTACCTGGCGGTCTTGTTGTTGTACCTGCTGCGTAGACCAGCAGATGTGATTCATATTCACGGTAGCACATATGCTGTAGTAATAGGAGTGAATCGAAAAAACGGGGACGGTTTTCTCTCTAAAAGTATGGTTTTCACGAGAGCACATTGTGGTGCAAACTGACGCTGGGACCTTCCGAATCCGGAAGAAGCAAACTATACGAAGAGCACACATTTTTACCCCAAAACGTTCTTTGAATTTCTCAATTTTGCTCCTATTATCTAGTACCAAAACACAGATCATCACAACAGAAGAGGAATAGATTCGCGCTGTGCGGCTAGATTCCTTATTCTTCATCAAGAATCCCACTCACAAGGCAACGTATCTTGATGTCGAAGCGATTCTCTCTGAGGGTTGTGAGATACAACTTTTGAATATAACGTGGGGCCGAAACTGCCATTCAATTCCGCCAATGAGTTGGGGCGCACTATGTTGAGTAACCGCCCGCGCCCCTGCCGCTTACCGTTCCAGATCCCTGCCATGAAGGACAGCGCAGGAGGAAAGGGCTCCATCATCGTCAACACCTCATCCACGGCGTTGCGTCCGTCAGCCTCGCCAGGGATGACTGGCTCTGGAATGTACGCAGCTTCCAAAGCGGCGGCGGAATTGCTGATGAAGTATGCCGCCATTGAGGTTCGTTGGATTGTTATCTCGCCCAAAGCAATAAACTGTGATTGAATCCTCGTGTTCGAATCGATGCGTCACTCAAGCGCAACGACGCAATTCATTCGCGTAGTGCGCGCATAGATATTCCAAACGAGAAGTGCTATCATCGCGATATACCGCTGCAGTACGTGTCCAACTTGTTGGTCTTTGGACGGAAACTGGCAAGAGCGACACAGGATATATGACTCTCCAACCCCAGCCTATAATTTCAGGTTTTATTGCTCTAAAAAAGACACCCCCGAACGGTGTGCCGAATACCACCACCCCACACACCGCAGCACGCCGAGTAACAGCGGTCACGTCACGACACACCCCTTGGGCACTACGAAATCGAAGGCAGTATTGGATTCCCCTAGATGTCGCGAGGAAATGAATGCGTCGCCTTCGAAGCCTTTTGCGCAGCTACAAGTGGCATGAAACACTTGGACCCAACCCTCTTTAATCCGCGAGACTGCCCCGTGAACGTCTCTGCCGCTCGAATCTCGACAGGGCGCGGCGTCAGGGGTGCGGGTGAACTCCGTCGCCCGTGGCCTTGTGAAAACGCCCATCTTCGGCGACATGCCCGACGAGACTCTGGTCGCCTTCGCCGGAGCGACGTAGCTCGTCCCGAGGCCCTGCACGCCCGAGGATGTGAGACGCGTACAGCTGACGTTATGGAATTCCCCCGCATGTACAGCTGCACAGGCCATCAGTTAGAAGAAACCATAAGAACGGCGGGCATGGCGCCGCCGCGAGGAAATAGACGGGTAGTGCGTCTTCACGCGCGTCCATCGAGAGTAGCCCACTCTTGATTGTTACTTCGCGGGGCATGGGGACGGAAACATCGTCACATCGTCCTTATCCCGGACCTACCGTCGGCGATATAAGATACCACACCCCCTACAGTAGACCGATTTTCAAAGCTTCATGAACTTCTGAAATAGTATACACAAGCTAGAGAGGGGTGGTGCCGAAATTGGTGCCGTTGGAACCGCCTCGTCGAGAGGTTTACGAGACCACATCGCTTGGCTGATACCATTCCTCTTCGTCGGGAAGTAGGCGAGGTTGGGGAATTGGTCCACGTGGCGTGATATGTCATCATGTCACCTACGGTAAGCAATGAACAACCTACATGCAACCTCTTTATGATAGTCGTTTGGTTATCTTCACGTGGTCACAGATTGCCAAGGTGGTGATATTCTTGGTCTCGGAGGACGCTACCGTGGTCACCGGCTCCACCTACACGATGGACGGCGGTTGGGCGATGAAAGCCTAGTTTTCCGTCTCCAAGTTCTGCTTGGCAAGCACGGAAGGGCGGCAAGGAAGATCGGTCATTCTCCCGAAGCCAGTCTATAATGTTCATATCCAGCAAGAAACGTCGTCACGGGAACCTTCGAAGAGTGAGATAGAAGAGAGCTTGGTTGCGGTCTACTTCTATACGTGGGCTCGATCTCTCCCATTCAAGATATGGTATGCTAAGACGTAGATTATATCGTTTCGAGCACGGTGAGCTGGGGCTGGCCCCGCCACGCTACTACCGAGGCAGTACTACGCTACTTCCGTTTCATACGAGGTAGTCGTAGTGTAGGCTGCCGGTCGATCGCTCGCAAATCCTATATGTTGGGCGGCTGGGATAATGAAAAAGCGCTCGGAAGAACACATGTAGATGCTGGGGGGTGTTGAAAAACCCGCGTATTAGAATGTATAGGTTTGTCTTGTTTGGAGGTACGAATCCGTTGCGTTGAAATTGCTTGTCGTGTACCAGAAACGTTTGCTCCTACATCACGTGCATGGATGCCTGCCTAAAGGGTTGTTCTTGTTGACTATTTTTATAACATGGAGTACAGATTCAAATAGTAAAACAAGAATATAAATATCTGTTGCATGTTTCGCAGGTGGCCGGGTCATTTTCTTGCCGGAGTCTACGAGAATATTGACCAAAACGCACGTCCACAGCGCGACTCAAAGTGAGTAAGCCCACAGCCTTATGAACTCATAGGGAAGGAGACACAATCGGACAGACAGCCCATACGGCGAGGAGAGACAGGAAACCCGAAGACGCGGACCGAGTGGCGCGAAATACTGTGCTGGATTCAACCCCGTGCTTGACTTATCCCCCCCCTCCCCCCCCCTCTGGTTGGAAGTCGTAGAGGCAGTCCGGAAAGGAGTAAAAGTAGGGCACACGGAAACTTCAAGGAGGGCCTGCAGGGGTTCAAGGAGAAGATATCTGTTGCTTGTGCCGAGAGAGAAGAACATAATCTAAGGAAAGAAACCAAGGATATGGAGGGTCTAGAAGTGTACGGAATGTTGAAAGAAGGAATAGGGTTCAAGGATTACCTACATGGACCAATGGATGCAGGGACAAAGCCTAAGGTCAAATTCAAGACCGGCGACATAGGCCTTCGAGAACGTCGACGAAGACATAGGACAGTAGACGGCGAAGACGACAAGTTCAAATGTGATTGCGGCTTCGAATGCGAAGACCGTGTTCATGTAGTCGCGGAATGTCCCTGGTACGAAGAGGAGAGGGAAGTGTACATGACTGAGCTGGATAAATACAAGGGACGTACAGGGATATGTTTGAGGCATGGAATAGAGAGGAGAGGACGGTAGCTGTACTGGGGAGTAGGAAGTGGTTTGAAAAAGGCGGGAAGGGACATCGGTAGGATAGACAAACTAGGGAAGACATTTTTGAGCCACCTTTGGCAAAGTAGGAAGGAACGATTGGCCATCGGTGATCGGTCCCGTGGGAACAATGCTCCGTCCTCTCGAGGACGCGTGGTCAATGGTCTAACCGCTAAGGCGTGCAAAACATAAGAGTACGCCTCCCTCCCCCCCCCCCCCCGGTTTCGTCGCGTGGCAACCACGTTTTAACACAAACCCATCACTCCCTGAGCTCCACAACCCGGGTACCCCTCTTTTTATTTTAACCTTTTTTTTTTTTTTTGGGGAACCCCCAAAGGGGGGCCAATAACTTATGTTTTGGGGGGGCCAAAAACCCCCCTCCCCCCCAGGGGGAAAAACCCCCCCCCCTGTGTTTAATTTGGCCAGCCCTCTCCAAAAAACTACCAAATGGTTTCCACTGTCTCTAAAAATGAAAACCCCCAAAAAAATATTATGTCCTACCCCACTGTCCTCCCTACCCCAGGGAATAAACCCCCAAAGCCCAAAACCCTTTACAGGAAGCCGCGCACCCCTTCTACCACTCCCCCAAAACCTCCCGGGGCTTCCCGCTTGGGGAAATGAGAACCCGGGCCCGGGAAAAATCCGCGTGGTCCCTCCCCACTTTTTAAGGATGCGAGGGCCAAGGG